TGATGTTGGGCATCATTTGAATGCTGATTGGTTGATTAGTTGACCAGGAAGTGAATTCACCTGGAAAGGGAGAAGCACAAAAAAGATTTTTTAAAAAAAATAAAATAACAGCAATGAAAGTAGCAACATTAGCTGTGGTGGACACTTTTCAGTGCCTTTAACTGTCTTTGTATGTTAGAACTTTTTCCATAGATGCTTGGTGGCCCAACAGCAAAAGCAGGAGTAGCCTATGGAGACCGGTTGTACCACAAATTTTTGACACTGCCCCTATCTGACAATAGATTCTCTCTGCAGTGGACGGCAGTCCAAGCTGCCAGTGGACTGCCCACCATAATGGAACGATGAGTAGACAGGTGGATCTCTTCAGAGCAGTTTGAGGTCTGAACTCACGGAGATTAATTTCACATTCACTTGCTTAGTACGAGCATCCACCAGGAAAAGCATAACAGATGGCCAGATGGTAAATGGCCTGCATTTGTATAGCGCCTTTCGAGTCCTTAAGGACCCCAAAGCGCTTTACACTACATTCAGTCATTCACCCATTCACACACACATTCACACACTAGTGATGGCAAGCTACATTGTAGCCACAGCTGCCCTGGGGTGCACTGACATAGGCGAGGCTGCCGGACACAGGCGCCACCGGGCCCTCTGACCAAACAGGCTTACTTTAACTGCTTTTATCTTAACTCTGATAAGATTCTGCACTTCCAATAGCTGATTAGCTTTTTCCTGCTGCACAACCACTCATTCATATAGCCATATTACTCATGTACAGCGTGGCCATTTTTTTTACTATCTGATGACAACTGCCGAAGCTCCCTCCACTCCCCCACAACCTCCTCAAATATATGTTGCTGTTTGATCTCTATTCGCCTCTAAAAGCTGGGACTCATCCTTAAAAAATAACTTCCTAACGATCTGTTATTAGTGGACATAAGTGCCTCTGATAGAACTGGGAAATGTATTTATCAAAGTTCTTTTTGTTTGATAAAGATAAATATAAGTAAAGTTGCATTAGAATTTAACAATTTAATTTTGAAACCATTTCACAATATTGATCTTATACTAGTGAGTCTTCAGATTAAAATATAAATTATGTTATGACTTGTTCAACTTTAATTACAGTGGGGCAAAAAAGTATTTAGTCAGCCACCGATTGTGCAAGTTCCCCCACTTAAAATTATGACAGAGGTCAGTAATTTGCACCAGAGGTACACTTCAACTGTGAGAGACAGAATGTGAAAAAAAAATCCATGAATCCACATGGTAGGATTTGTAAAGAATTTATTCGTAAATCAGGGTGGAAAATAAGTATTTGGTCACCTCAAACAAGGAAAATCTCTGGCTCTCACAGACCTGTAACGTCTTCTGTAAGAAGCTTTTCTGTCCCCCACTCGTTACCTGTATGAATGGCACCTGTTTGAACTCATCATCTGTATAAAAGACACCTGTCCACAGCCTCAAACAGTCAGACTCCAAACTCCGCCATGGCCAAGACCAAAGAGCTTTCGAAGGACACCAGGAAAAGTATTGTAGACCTGCACCAGACTGGGAAGAGTGAATCTACAATAGGCAAGCAGCTTGGTGTGAAAAAAATCAACTGTGGGAGCAATCATCAGAAAATGGAAGACATACAAGACCACTGATAATCTCCCTCGATCTGGGGCTCCACGCAAGATCTCATCCCGTGGGGTCAAAATGATCATGAGAACGGTGAGCAAAGATCCCAGAACCACACGGGGGGACCTGGTGAATGACCTGCAGAGAGCTGGGACCAAAGTAACAAAGGTCACCATCAGTAACACACTACAACGGCAGGGAATCAAATCCCGCAGTGCCAGACGTGTTCCGCTGCTGAAGCCAGTGCATGTCCAGGCCCGTCTGAAGTTTGCCAGAGAGCACATGGATGATACAGCAGAGGATTGGGAGAATGTCATGTGGTCAGATGAAACCAAAGTAGAACTTTTTGGTATAAACTCAACTCGTCGTGTTTGGAGGAAGAAGAATACTGAGTTGCATCCCAAGAACACCATACCTACTGTGAAGCATGGGGGTGGAAACATCATGCTATGGGGCTGTTTTTCTGCCAAGGGGACAGGACGACTGATCCGTGTTAAGGACAGAATGAATGGGGCCATGTATCGTGAGATTTTGAGCCAAAACCTCCTTCCATCAGTGAGAACTTTGAAGGTGAAACAAGGCTGGGTCTTCCAACATAACAATGATCCAAAACACACCGCCCGGGCAACAAAGGAGTGGCTCCGTAAGAAGCATTTGAAAGTCCTGGAGTGGCCTAGCCAGTCTCCAGACCTCAACCCCATAGAAAATCTGTGGCGGGAGTTGAAAGTCCGTGTTGCTCGGCGACAGCCCCAAAACATCACTGCTCTCGAGAAGATCTGCATGGAGGAATGGGCCAAAATACCAGCTACTGTGTGTGCAAACCTGGTAAAGACCTATAGTAAACGTTTGACCTCTGTTATTGCCAACAAAGGTTATGTTACAAAGTATTGGGTTGTATTTTTGTTATTGACCAAATACTTATTTTCCACCCTGATTTACGAATAAATTCTTTACAAATCCTACCATGTGGATTCATGGATTTTTTTTTCACATTCTGTCTCTCACAGTTGAAGTGTACCTCTGGTGCAAATTACTGACCTCTGTCATCATTTTAGGTGGGGGAACTTGCACAATCGGTGGCTGACTAAATACTTTTTTGCCCCACTGTATATGCTCATTTTTAGCAACAAAAGAATGGCCAGCAAAGTTTTTACCAAGTGGAAGATAAAGATAAAATTTCTTTGGTATCTGGAACGTGATCGTCCAAAAAGAAATTATCTACTGAAACTATTTCGTTCCTCAGACGTGTAAAGTCTTAAACTGCTTGCAGTGTTTGATTCTGTTTTTAAGGGAGGTCTAATTAATGAGGAGATCTGTGTCACATCCTGTTTGGATGGCTTCCACAGGCAAATCTGAGCCTGGATTTTAAGAGCTTAAACAGTCGCTACTTTGTACAAAGGGTGGGAAACATTTCTCTCCAGAGGGCCTGACTGACACCGATGAAGGAAGACAAGGGTCACATGTTTAATAAAAAAAATCAAAACTTATGCTGCAATGAAAACATTGCCAGCATAAAGGAAATACGTAAATGGTACATAATCATGTACCATTACATTGCGACCACATGCCGTGCAGCCAGAAAGCACAGTCCTCATGCATTGATTAATCCAATTACAATCAGATTTCTAACCTTGAATTTAACTAGTTGTTGCATGTATTGTGGCACATTGATATCTTTTTCATTAGTTAAATATTGTATATGTAATATGTAAACATAACCGTTGATGATAATCTTTAAAAGAGACAAAGTACAACTAGTTAAACACTGGTGATGTTTCACATTTGGAAGGCCTACCAGCCTGTAACAGTGTACAAAGTCTTTTTGCTCCAAACAAATGAATTGTGACATGATCTGGCATCTGAGTCTCTTTCTTGAGTTTTCATTGGACAAGAGTTGACTACGCTGCCCTCCACTGTGGCTGTCTGACTGTACACAAACTGAAGAGCCTCTGTGGGGAATTAGCCGAGGCCTAGAATAGATCCCTGAGGGAGCCTGCAGGTTACACAGGGTGCTGGGAGCTCGAGGGCGTACAGTACAGCGAGAGTGATGTGGTATAAATTTGTTTCTGAGCTGCTTGTTTAAAGTAGTCAAGGATAGCTGTGAGATCTGAAGATCTCAAAGAGACTAAAATAGCTGTGGTCCAGACATGGAGGGAGCGTGTTGGTAGATGGGCACCATCGCTGTAGTAGAAGAGCTGTTGTGTAAAGCTGATTCACCCATCCCACAGCTCTGCTGCTTGTGGGAGGAAGCATAATGAGGGCATCTTCTGTTTGCAGGGGGGTGAAAGAGAATTGGGAGGGTGAAGGCATCTCAGAAAATAAAACAGTCAATTCGCAAGCCAGGGATTTTCTGAAATCTAACTCACCACAGTTCACTACAGAAACCACACCCAGAACCTGACGAGTTAAAAATGTTTCCTGTACGGCAAACAAATGAAAAAGCCTCACACAGTCACAGTAACGACTGTGCAGCTCTTTGAAATGAATATCTATTCTGATTATACACACACGCTGAATTATTCATTGGAATCCATGCTGCATTATAATATACTGTCAAATCACATACACAAAACAAGCTTATTATTTGTCAGTCCTCCAAAACCCAGGTGTCTCTTTGCACTTTGTATACAAAGTAAAAAAAAAACGCAGTTCTTTCATCTGTTGCGATCAGATCAGCAGTTTATAACGTGACACCACAAAGACCATCCTAAGCAATAATTAGTTCAGCGTAGAGATAGAAAATACCACCGACGCATTTTTGAACACTTTATTGTGAATATGTTGTTGCACCGGAGGATAGGCATTTTGAGCGTGGACAACTTTTTGTTTATTTCCTGTTTTATTTATTCACGAGAACATAAGTCAGCAGAACACAGCAAAGAGAGATAGTAAAGAGCTCCATTAAAGGGCTGAAAAAGCTTTTGTGTTTGATGGATTAACTCGTGGAGCTAGCTGCAAATGAATGCTCAATAAATTATGGATGCCTTTGTATGTATAGCTGGTAATATGCAATGCTATCTAAAAAAAAAGTGGTCAGTACTAAACTGAAACACGGTGTTGACACGGCTTGTAGTAATGGAAATCTATAGTTTGAGGGCTTGTGTCAGTCTTGTGCAGAGAGAACAGCTGAGAAGAGTTTCTTTTTAAGGCAGGTCCTGAAATACGAGCACCCAGAGCAGACTGACAGTCCTATAAATATCGTTTTTGTGACCAAAAAATCCGTCCAGACCTGCGGGGTGCACAAATCAAGCGCTAAACTTGAAATCCTTTTTAGAAATCCTGGCTACAGTTTGGATGGTGTTTGCCTCCTGTTATGTATGCTATGCACTTCTCTGACTTAGCATAGCTACATGACCGTGCTCTTTTACATTTCACAGGACTACACGCTGACTATGTACTTCCAGCAGTATTGGAGAGATAAGAGGCTGGCTTATGCAGGGATCCCTCTCAACCTGACACTAGACAACAGAGTAGCAGACCAGCTCTGGGTCCCAGACACCTACTTTCTCAATGACAAGAAGTCCTTTGTGCATGGTGTCACAGTAAAGAACCGGATGATTCGACTTCACCCGGATGGCACTGTTCTCTACGGCCTCAGGTAAGAACTGCAGTTTAGCTTGACCTTTCAGGGTAGGCTTGTATTCTTTATTCATCAGTTTGTACGAGCTTCAGTTTTCTTCCCGTCTTGAAAAAAATATCCCTGTAAAGTGGGGCTCCTCAATTGAGGAGAGACTGGATTTTCAAGTGCAGTAATTCCACCAGATTCTGGGTGTTTTTAACCAAGTTTTATTTGCAACCGGCCTTTATTTCAGCCACTGTTGAAAAAGGAAAACTGTTGTTTTAACCGCGTTCAAGTTCTGTTCTCAGCTCTTTGGAGAGTAGCAGTATGACTCCAGCACTGAGCAGAGCTGCATCAGTGACAGCAGATATGACGTTAAGTCAGAAACAGCATGAAAAGAAGCAGCTGGGGTGGGTTGTGCAGTGGCTTGCACATGCACCGTATAAGAGATTGGATTTGTAGGATTTCAGTGGCTGAACCACTGAGATCAGCTCATATGCTGGGATCAATTTCTTCATGCTGATTCTGTCATGTTTCTAATAATATAAGAATTTGTCAGTTATTTCACATTAGTAACATATTGGCTGTGGACAAAGACTTAGAGGTCATTTTTCTTGTTAATATTCATACATGATAGGCTTCCTCTCATAATATACATAATACTCTCTGCAATTAATTACCAATCCATCTCCGGTGCTTATTGGCTGCATCTGGCTTTTACACCATCGCATAGCTCTCCAAACTGCCCAAGATTCATGAAGTGGCAAAAAGCTTTATTTGTTTTGCTGAAGCAATTTAAGCTGCAGTTCAACACAATTTAATGCTAATGCAGGAAGTCGCATCTCATAACTGCTGTCATACGTTTGTTTGGACTAACTCAGAATTGGATCCTCAGTGTAAATGTGCAAGTCTGAAGAGTCTGGAAATGAGAGTGGAAGTAATTGGCAGGAAGTTTGTTTTTCTTCCTTTAATCAATTAATAATAAAAATGGATGCCATTTGCATCTTCCTCAGATGGAACGCATTTCTCCTAACCATCCTCTGCTCTAACAGCTGTCCTGAATCTAAAACGAGGTCACCTCTCTTTTGTTCCTCTTTTGACTCAGAATCACGACGACGGCCGCCTGCATGATGGATCTGAGGCGATACCCGCTGGACGAGCAGAATTGCACTCTGGAAATTGAGAGTTGTAAGTTTAAGCCCTGCATCTTGTGCTTTGTAAAGAAATACAGCAGACAGCCCGACTTTTTTCATCACTTAAAAATATGAACAGCGCTGTAATTCTCATAAAAAATGTTCAGTCATCGGGTGGAGACAAAAACTGCACAGGCTGCTGAATTGCTCTGGATTTATTAATCTGTCATATCCCAGTGAGATTGCTCGCTGCACCCTCTCCAGTTAAACGACTTCGTCTGCACGGAGAGGTTCTGAGCTGAGCAGACAGTGATTTCCATAGTGGAGCACCGTAATGATTAGTCCAGCTTCATCAGTCTAGATGACGTGTTCGGCTGTCCGTGCTGCCATAAAACTCTTGGCGGTCATGGATCTCATGCATTTGGTATCAGCCTGTCTGTCTGCACTGACACACATCCCCATGAAGATTCACATCTCATGCAATCAGCACTTACAGGATCTGTGTGATTCATGAGACTTACTCTAAATCAGTTACAGCTACCGGGCGTCCTGATTTCTCTTAAGGATATAAAAATACATCCAGTGAAATGAGACAGATTCACTTTTCAGAGCTTTTCCACTGTTAAGGACACATCATGTGACTTGTTTTCTTGCAGATGGTTACACAACAGATGATATAGAGTTTTACTGGAAAGGAGGAGAAACTGCTGTGACCGGGGTAAAACGCATTGAGCTCCCTCAGTTCTCCATAGTGGACTACAAACTGGTTTCCAGGAATGTAGTCTTCTCCACAGGCAAGTTATGGCACTCACATTTTTAATGTTTCTTCTTGAATCCATGAAAGAACATTTTAGAAGGTGCATGCTCGCGTTCAGTTGACATCACCAGAAATCAGTTCAGATCTGTTGTCCCTGATTACAGTGTTAAATAACCTCAGTGAAAATAGCTTATAACTGAGATAAAAGCACCTTACCTTGTATTAAGAGTTTGGCACAACGTGTGCTCAGCAAACAATGTAAAAGCAGCACGTCTCACACGCCTCCATCAAGATGCATTCAGATGCATTCTTGCACTTCATCCAATAATCAGTGATCCCAGATTAAAACAGAAGAATAAGACTTTAAAACATGTGCTGCGTCACAGATGAATCTGTCACCTGAACTGCAGAGATGTAAGACTCTGCCGAGGTTGTGTTCTGTTACCTGTCGTCAATCTTGAGACGTCCCAGTATATTAATTCATGACTGGCTGTTTTTTTTCGGTGCATTCTATAAAACTGCTGCTTTAAAACTAGATGGAGCTGCACGCTGCTGCAGAAGGACTGCTTGCTTCCTCCCATAGGTGGAAGTGGGTGTTTGCAGGTTCTGGACGTCTCTTGTACTAAAAGTTCTGCTGCCTACTAAACACATACCTGTTTAAAATGATCCTCCAGTTTGTAACTCTGGCTGAAGACACACAGAGTGCAGGTTGAGAATTTGGAACTAAATTAAGTCTGACATGAGAATGTCTGCAGTCTCCCATGATGCATTTGATTACACTTAGACAAGAACCTGGACTGAGTCTATTTAGTTCAAACATGCCTGTAAAGGTACAGCGGGTGAAGGGTCTTAGTGCTACTAATGGCCCTAAAAAAGTAGAAAATAACCTGCTTTTTGTGGTGTTGACTCACTTTTCTTTTTATGTATCTGAGCCGAGTCAGGATGATAAACTGTCCTTCATGCAATGACCAGATCTGTTAAACTTTATATTCCCATTGCTTGAAATTAAGAGATGCACTGATTGATGCTGTTGATAAAGAATGGGGACTGTTGCATACAGCAAAATAATGCATTCATGAGGCAGAGTGCAGGCAGCATGAATTATTCTCCTATAATACAGCAACAACTCAGAGGCACCACAACAGTGATTATCCTCACTGCTGAATTAATGACATGTAGGATGGCTACTGTCCGAGCGTTTCTATACAGATAATGTAGAGAAACCTATTAGAGCTCATTAGGATCACTGTCACATTCTGATACAATAAACTCTAATAAATGGAGTGTCTGCAGATGCTTTTAACTTCTTCTCAACATCCTCTTATTGTGTGTGTGCGCGCGCGTGTGTGTTTTAAATTATCATTATCTGTACATATACACTGTGTGTTTGTGTACAAATACTTTTATGTAGAAATCTCTGTCTAGGTTTTGAGATATTTAAAAATTAATATACATATAACCTTTTAAGAATGTGCACACATATTGGCACATAACTTTTACCCCTCAGCCGTAAAAGGCTGATGGGGTATTGTTGTCACTCTATGACTGGTGGGCGGGTGGGGGACATGGACCAGTAGGTTTGTAAATGCAATAACTTGAGAACGTGGCAATGTAGGATTTTTAAATACCCACCCTTTTCCCCAAAGTTTTGTTTGTTTGCATCATGTGAGAATGTGGACAGTGTCTCGTTTTTGCCTGCAGTTCTCGTGTAAATACAGTTGATGAGCTCATCACCACAGAAACCAAATCAAAGTGGAAGGCATCCCCATGTTTCTCCTGAATTATAGAGCCCTGATTTTTACCTGATGTGTTGTCCTGCAGGTGCCTACCCTCGACTGTCTCTGAGCTTCAAACTGAAGCGAAACATCGGATACTTCATCCTGCAGACGTACATGCCCTCCATCCTCATCACCATCTTGTCCTGGGTGTCGTTCTGGATAAATTATGACGCCTCAGCTGCCAGAGTTGCATTAGGTATGATTTTTCCAATGCAGTGAGTTGACCTCTGGATTGTAGTTTAATCTACACGCACTCTGTGTTTTCTAAGACTTGTGAACAGTGACCGGCTCTGTGCCAAAGCTGGAAACCAGAAAGTAACACTAAACTGTGACATTATCAAAGTGGCGATTCTGTAATTAGAGGATGGATTTGTGACTGGTTACTTACAGTTATTTTACATCAACATTATGCATTCAGTATCCATCCGTCTGACTTATAAATGTGTCAAATGTAGGACCAGATGAATCTTGACAGCGAAAATATTGAAAGAATTGGCTTGTGTGGGAATGAAAAATTGGTTTGTTTAAAGAATATTTATGTAAAAGAAAGCATTCACAAAGATTATGTAGTAGCACTAACAAAGAAGAATAGTCCTGGTGAGGCATTATGCATTCAAAACTAAACTGGTGAGTTCCTCCCACGTGCCACATTTGAACAGATAAACAACAGATTCAAGAAGAACAAATAATCACAGCTGTGCGTTTCCTTCACTCTGTTTGAAGCCTCTGCATTGTGGTGTAATAGGAGACTCAACTGGATCTCAAGACTCACACTTTCCACTGGCTTCTAGGGCTGAAAAAGTTCACCGTTGTATAACACCATACCTCCCTAACTGCATTGATCGCTGCTAGAATATTTGCCTTAATGGAAATCCTCAATCAGCTTTGGTGCACTCTCAGTCAAGTCTGCGTAAAGAAGAGCACATTAACGTACCAATAATAAAATCTCACTTGAGCATACGCTGTGATTAGATGAATGTAGTACATCTTAGGAAGTCTGGTGGGAAGCTGGATTTGGAAGCCCCTGTGCTGGCTCAGACCTCGTCATTTAACGCACGAGTCGGCTCACTCCGCCGTAACGCCTCCATCGTTGAGAAGACTGCTGTCTGGGATGCTGTCAGATCAATGCAAGTTAGAACGCATCCCTACTCCTGTGCTTTACAAAATCAATCAACGGTGATTCATTACAGGTCTCCATTCTCTTTGGTGGGTGGTGTGAATATCCTGAGCAAAACCAAATTAGCTGGGCTACTTAACAGGCTTCATACATGAGGAGCGGAAAAACATGTCTGAAGCGTATGGAGTTTTACGAGTCATTCAGAAAGGTGTAGTAAAATATATATACTTTTAATGCAAAAAGATATGCACATCCCAGAAGGATATACACATTTTTTAAAAAGATTTTTTCAAACAGTCCAGACCATTTGAAAAATGGTAAAAAAAAAATCATATTTTGCATGGTTGGATCTTAACAAGGTTCCAAGTAGAGCTTCAACATGCAACAAGAGGAAATGGGAGTGAAACAAAAAAAAATTGAGCATGCAATTTATTGAAAACAACGCTTAAACTGAAACAGGCTGTTTTACAGCTGATTAAATGTTTAGAACCACACCTCTGAAAAAAATACCCTGTAAACCCCCCAAAACAGAAATCAAAGTTCCAAACAGGATCTCAGTAATGAGTAGCTCCACCGTTACTGTTGATCACTTCAAAAATCTGTTGCGGCATGCTTGATGTGAGTGTTTCCACAAAGTAAGCGGGAACATTTCTGGAAGCGGTGAAGACGGCCGCACGAAGGACATCTACTATCTGGAACTCCATTGTCCATTTTTGTAAACTTCTCTTGCCATCCATCCCTAAAGGTTTTTAATGGGATTTAGATCTGTGGGCGTTGTGTACTGTGGCATTGTCCTGTTGAAAAACCCAGGCGTTACCACACAGACGATGGCCCTCACTCATGAGGGATGCTCTCTTCAACATCTGGACATAGCCAGTGGCCGTTTGACGCCCCTGCACCTCCTGAAGCTCCACTGAAAAAAAAAAGCACCCCAGACCATTATGGCGCCCCCTCCACTGTGGCACGTAAAAAACATCTCAGGTGGGATCTCCCTTTCATACCAGTTACGTTGGAAACCATCAGGACCATCAAGGTTACGTTTTTTCTCATCAGACAATAAAACTTTCTTCCACCTTTCAATGTCCCATGTTTGATGCTCTCTTGCAAAGTCCAAATGGTCAGTTCTGTGGCGTTTAAGGAGATGAGGCCTTTGAAGACGTATTTTGTTTTTGAAGCCCTTCAGTCTCAGATGCTGTTTGATGGTTATGGGGCTGCAGTCGACACCAGAAACGGCCTTAATTTGGGTTGAGGATTGTCCAGTGCTTAACGGACAGCCAATTAGATCCTCTGGCTCAGTGCTGATGAAATTTTGACTTTTTGTTCCATCACCCTCAGGATCATTTAAGCAATTCCAAATGACTGTCTTACTGTGTCCTACCTCAGCAGCGATGCCGCACTGCCAGAGACCCTCCTTATGCAGTTCAACAACCCAACCATGTTCAAAAAAGGAAACATTTTTTGGCCTTTGTGAACAGATCATCATGACAGTGTTACTACATGTCAGAAAATGACAATGAATCCACATTTTTGCACAGATTTGGCTTTTTAAAGGCATGTGGTGCTAAACTTTTGATCAGCTGTAAAACAGCATGTTGCAGTTGAAGCGTTGTTTTCAATAAATTGCATGCTCAAAAAAATGTTATGTCTCACTCCCATTTCTTCTTGTTGCATGTTGAAGCTCTACTTGGAACCTTGTTAAGATCCAAACATGCAAAATATGATTTTTTGCCATTTTTCAAGGGATCTTAAACTTTTGATCGGGTCTGTATTAGCCAGTTTTTTGGGATTTAACACCAGTACTAGAGCTCAGCTGAGCAAACACAGGATTTTAAAATCATCTGTTCAAATTACACTCCTGTTTTGCCACATTTAATAGTTTATTAGGGGAAGATGCCATCTTGAGGAGTCCAGTGATGTAAATATTTTTTTTCCACCAATACTTTCCTACCCCTGTGACGTGAACAATAGTGTACAGCAAGTGTTATCATCTTGTATGATTATCACTTCTTATTTTGTCCATCTACTTTTACCTGCTGTGTTCTCAGGGACAGCACTGCGCAGTATTTCAAGGGGTTTGTTGAGTAACCATCTCCTCTGAGCTCTCAGAGTGTTTAGAATCTTGCTCGTCCCTTTGTTATGCAGAAATCGATGCCATGTACCCACTGGCGCTCTTGACTCCCCCACACACTCCATACAGTGCAACATTTTTTGTTTTAATTATGTAAGCCTGAATCGACAGAAATAGACACACCGTCCAGGTCGGTGAGCCTTCATGGAGACACAGAGCATTACTGTAGATGGCGCAAACTACTGAGAGAGTTTACAGTGTGTTTGTTGAGTCTGTTCGCTTGTCATGTGAGTTGTAATTCATCCAAGTTCAGAATATTCAACATCATCCAAACAGACGACTTTTAGCTTCTCAGAAAACAAAAAATCGGGTTCATGGTATTCATCTGGATATGGTCATTTTAGAGATCGGTTCTCAGCCCTCCTTTAGTACTGTGGAAACAGATTTTTTTTTTCTTCCAGGGATCACCACTGTGCTGACCATGACAACCATCAACACCCATTTGAGGGAGACGTTGCCCAAAATCCCCTACGTCAAAGCCATAGACATGTACCTGATGGGCTGCTTCGTGTTCGTCTTCCTGGCTCTGCTGGAATATGCCTTTGTCAACTACATCTTCTTTGGCCGAGGTCCTCAGATGCAGAAAAAGCTGGCAGAAAGGGCGCAGAAGGCAAATAATGACCGCAGTAAATTTGACAGGCCCAAGGTGAGAATTATTTCCAAACACCAAGAAGGTTCATAAAAAACAACTGTGGTGTTTCTTTTAACAAGCAAGGCTGGAATTTAACAACTTTTAGTGCTTATAGCTGTTAAATCAACCATGTGGAGCAATTCTCCTCGGACATCACACAAATATACACGAACTAGCCGTTACATTAAAACCGCTGCTGGGAAATGTCACCATGCAGCATTGTTACAATAATGATAATGAACATTATTGCAGTAATTCATCTGTAGTCACTATGTTTTGGCTCTTCGGTGCCGAGATGCAGCGCTATCGTGATTCAGGTTGTTTTTTTTGTGGATTCCATTTCAAGTAGGGATTTATTTAAATAGGTGTATTTAAATCATCACTATCTGAAAGTTACCTATTTAACTGTGCGGGAGTATCTCTAGCTGCTAACTGCAATAAGAAGACCAGTCGTACAGCAGTTTGTGTGAAAAGAATCCGAATTCTGTCTTGATCTTTGACTCCAGCAAACATTTTTACAGTCTTAATTCTCAGGTCAAGTATTCCTTGAAACTCCGTATTTGAACTGGAACATGTAGAGGATTAATCAGGGTGTGCTTTAGGATGTGTCTGCCTTGTTACTGCTTGGTCACAAACCAGTGGCCATGCGTTCAGATCCACCCCTAGCAGTACTGTAGATGACGTCATGTTTATCCGTCTATTAACGGCAGCAAAAATTAAATATGGGTAACTCTATATAAAAACCCATCTCTGAAAAGATTCCCACCTGAACCCTGAGAGTCTTTTGTGCACATTTAGCTTTAGCATATTTAATGAAGCCATATATCTCATACTATCAATGTACTCAGACTTTAATCTCCTCAGAGATTTTACACCATTTTCCTCATAATATCATTAATTCAGACATTTTCACCCAAATCAGCTCTAAGAGTCACAGTACAAAGCCAAGACCTCAGCTTTAGTAGAAACAAGCACTGGGGTTGATAACTCACTGAAGAAAACTTCAAAAACTGCATTCTGGCTTAACACCATGGCTTTCAATAGCCTGTGGAATTTCTGGCTGATCAGAACAATTTACACTATGAAAGATCTCCTTTTTACCTACATTTGATGCCAGGATGATCTTCAAATCAAGGATAAAGATGAGCCGATTCTGAGGGATAAGGTGGGAGACAATGATTTTTAATGTGACTGGATCAATACATCCTACAGATGTTTTTTTTAATTAATCATCAGTCACAGCTTTAACGAGTCCACACTGAGTGACTTTCTGACTCCTGACTCCGATGTTCTGTGAGCATCTTAGGTGACCGAATCTCAGACAAAAGGGTTTGTGTTTGTCTTTTTCCTGGCTAGTCCATTCTGGAAGGAGGCAATTGCAAGTCTTCGTCTCTTAAACTGTCCAATCAGGTACAAGGGCGTCGTCACTCACGACGGGTGAGTGTCTGTCACTGCCTGTTGTGTTACATCTGTGAAACCTCTGGCTGAAACTTTGCTGCTGCAGTGCAAAGTTTGACCTCATTTAACAAAGTAACACGTCATCACAGCCATTTCTCTAAACACCTCACCGTACGAGTACATTCTGCTTAGCCCGCCTTTCCCACTGTCGTATTTTTGCCCTTTTTTAATGTCTTTATATGTCTGTGTTGCTAACATGCTACCCAGTAAGTGCAATCAAACCATTCCAACCATCATTAATGTCATTAGGCAATTACCTTTACACTGCACTAATTCGGCGGCACATAGAAAACATGAAGAGTCACGAGTTACATTTTAAATTAGTTTACAGGATTCGAGGTTGATCTGTGAAACCACAGCCAAAAAAATAAGAAGACAAATATTCACTTTTTCACCTCCTCTCATGCCTTGTGGTCACCTTTTTATATCTGTGTTCATCCTGTGCCTAAACTGGTCTGAATGATATATCTGTTTTTGTGTGGGAAGCAATAGTTGTCACTACATTAGTATTAAAGCCAGCCAGTCCAACCTTGAGCTGATTTGTGAGAAGACGTTTAATTTTGGGACAGAAAAACCTGCCTTTGAAGGTCGCTCTGGTTCCCAGGCTGTCAGCCTGCGAGAGGAGACCGACCCCGGGGAACCGACGCATGCTGCACATGTGTCGTCAGTCGCTGTAGCCTGTTTTAAACATCGCTGCTGTTTGTCGGTCCTAGGTCGACTCCCAGGGGAACATTTTGCTGACAACCTTGGAGATCCACAACGAGGTGGGAGGGAACGAGATAACAACCAGTCTGAGCGAGACCCACAACTCGTCCTCCATGGTCTTCGACAACTCAGCTATCCAGTACAGAAAGCCAAGCGGGTCACGCGAGTTGGGCCGCCACAGCCTGGACAGGAACGCACATCTTAAGAAAACCCGTCTACGAAGACGGTCCTCGCAGCTCAAAATCAAAATCCCAGACCTCACTGATGTGAATGCCATCGACAGATGGTCACGGATTATATTCCCCTCTGCCTTCTCCCTCTTCAACCTCATCTACTGGCTTTATTATGTTCATTAATGCATTGTGGGTTTTTTAAGCCCATGTGATTCTGGTTTATGACTGAGAGAAGCCTTGTGTGGCCGACCCGACACGGTAACGTCCTGAACGCTTTTTTAACATGATACGTGCAGAAAGAATCATGCACAGCCACAAGGATTTACCTGCAGAACATGCATCTTACAAAGACTTGCATGTGAAGTCAGCCCTGTGATCACCTGCGACTCTATCACACAAACTGAAACACACTTTTGCAGCACTGCATCTCCAAAAGATGATTTAAGTTGGATTCGATGAGCTGCTGAAACCTTCCCCTATAATTTCAGTATAACATGTGGCCACACTATTAAATTTAATCGCAAAGGTTTGTAGTATTATGACAGCGCTAGCCTTCCTTATATCTGCACATGGACAAAGGCGGACCTGTAAGATCCCATGCACCCAGACTAAACAGACTTTGCCCAGGCGGGAAATTATTTGGTATGAAATCAGCCATAAAGGAATAGTTGTGATATTTTGGGAAATGTGATATTACAAAAGCCTAGTTGAGATAAAATGACATTAAAACAATAAGGCTGCATCCAGTTTTGTTATTTTTCATGATGCCCTTTGTTTGTCGTATTATATACATCCACCATACCCCTTTTCCTTACAATTGTGCACTTTTGTTTCTCCCAAAATGCCAAAGCTCGTTAAGTGTTTAGTTTCAGTTGCTTCAAGACGATAGAAACAGAGTCTGTGGTCAACAAGCTCAATCTAGAAGTTGTACCAAGGTTACAGGAGCTGGACCGTGTGTTGTTGTCCCTGTGCCGTTGTTCAAATGTTCCCTAGACTTGAGATCATTTGGTTTCAGTTCAAATTGTATTTAAATTTAATGGAAATACTACTTTCTTAAAAAGTTCAGTAAGTTTTTGCTGATCCTACTGACCAAAATCTTTGTTAGCATTTCTGCTAATCAAATAGTTTAATGCTATGCTCATTTCTATCCTGTAAGTTCTTGTTGATGATGGAAAGTAACTATAACACGTTACTCTATGATATCAAAACAGAGCCATGTCTTTGCAGTCGGGAACAATAATGACCTTCCTGACACAACATGTAGTATTTCTGTAAAAGTAGAGTTAGAATTATCGCATGTCATTGATGATGACTCAGAAAGTTGAGTATAAATACCAATATCCAATCAACTTAGCTTAATTTTCAGAACCCAATTTTAAATAACAGGAATAGAACCAGTACTGCATTTTAGAAATAACTTTATTTTCTCATTTAGTGCCATGAATGAAAGATTTTTAAAAGGTTGGAAGAACTAGCCCTAATCGTATTTCTGATGCTAACACATCACGCCACTTCAACCACTGCAATAAAATTGTCATTTTAACATTTTTGTGTGAACAAATTAGGTCATGAGTGATGTTTTGTGTTACTCTGTGGGCTTTTGAGGCTAGTACATGGATTATTTTCATATTTGTTCAAAGCAATGCTAGCAATTTACCGCTAAGCTAGGCTAATCCTCTAAAGAAAATGCAAAAATAAAAGGACTTCCCAAAATATCAAACTATTTTATCAACGTGTGCATTTACACATTTTCAAAATGCCATATTTCCGACAAAAACTGGAGAGATTGTGTGACCTTAGTACAAAGGTTTCCAGGCTTTTGTAGTGGTTTTTTTATCGAGGAATGTATTAGAACAGTTTACATCGTCCCACTATTTTTGTCACGTTGCTTTCTGTTGATTTTGTGAAACACGTACATAATACAGCACAATCCATAACTTCCTTGTTTGTTTCAGACTGCATGTTGTACTGAGGACTGAGTCGTGGCTGCAGATCCCGACCCTCTGGGGATTTGATGTACATACTGTAACTGTGCACATTTTTTCTCAGCTCACAGTAATTACATGGCTATGTTGTCAACGGTGTTTTGCTCAGTGATTTCTGGCCTCGCTGTTCTGTTTTTGTTAGTCTTTACACAAACTTATCATTTCCTTTTTATGACAGTAAATATAAAAACACAATATCAGTTCGTTATCATTTCCATTTTTTCCTAAAGGTAGAGCATGTGAAGTCCTGTTAAGTGAAGGAGGAACTGATGGGAGGTGTGTAGCGTCTCCTAAACAACCATTCCTGCCAGACACAGCTTACAACATGCCATCTGACTGCTTGCTTGAGCAACTCGCAGCGCGTAGGAGTGACACCACCTGTCAGTAATCCTCGCAGCTCGGTGACATCCATGCGCGCCGGCCTCACGGAGCCCAAAATCAAGAACGAATCGCACATAACTAACACTTTCTCAATGGGTTTCGCATTTTTTTTAAACACTTTGCTTGATGATCTGTTTCTGCAGACACTGCAGCTTTTTCCATGAAGTGCTCCACCTTCAAAGTCTTAATGGATCAGGAAGATCAGGGCAGGAAATGGTACATATTTTTGGCATTTGCTAAATAAATCAAAACATTTTAATTCATAATTTTTGGTCCGAGCACTATAAATATCCGTGCTACGCAAACACAATCCGCTGCCAGGATTAACCCTTGCTGTGCAATTACATTACAGACATTATAATATAGATTTTATATCTTTTTATCTCTCTCAAGGATATCCATTCCTATTTAACCATCCATCTACTATGAATGGAAAGATCAATACACATCTGGAGAGATATAAGTAGATTTTTGTGTTTGTCTTTTTCCATCTTTGAGAGATGGATAAAAGCATCTGTGTGGATATCTGTCTGTCTGTGCCATGAACAGAAGGTATTTTTAGCCATCCTTCTATATTGTACCCTATATGGTACCCTGTTGAAATTTTACCTTTGTGTCCAATATGTGAGCCCAAGTAAGAGTAAATACACATCAGCGATCATTATTGACAAGACACTGTGCCAAAAAATGAAAACTTAATTGTATTCATGCATATTTATGCAAATATCATGGTACACTGTGGTGGACTTTGCCTGCCGTATAGTTTTTCCTCAAGCTTAGCTAACAACTGAATTGCAATAGCGTTCCCACCTTAAATAAATTAGTGACGTTTTCTTGGAAATTAGGAACATGTGTTTTCATTAACTGTTTTTTAATAAGTTACTGTTACATGTGTGATGAAAGTAACAATGTACTCATTGTTTTTGGGTCACATTTAGACATTTAAGTTTAAATATTATATTGAATATTGTGCTCATAAATATACACTGATTAGTGTTTAATTACATCTTTCAACAAATTGATGCCTTCTAACAAACTGAGAATTAATCCATTAAACATAAATACGAGCGGAAGCTGGTTTCTGGAAGTCGTCACATGGCCCTGCCATCTTGAATACAGTAGCCGAGGTGGACATCACAGTTCCACTTGATCACATTTTATGTATCGCTGGAGATCGAACACATACGTAAGAACGGAGAAGAGAACACGAAGGCATTCTTGTGCTTTAGAACAAAATTTGAATTCATATCAGCAAGATATGAGAAGAAGAAGACTAACTCAGTCACGGCATCAACTGTCCCCTTTTCTCAGATTAGCAAACAAGCAAGCAATTTATTCATATAGCACTTTCAGAAACAAAGTGCTGTACACTTGACAAATAAAAAATGATAAGCATATTAAATTACATTTTAAAAGGCGGGGAGGGGGCTGTCTAATGTGCAGGGGCAGGTTATTCTGAGTTCCCTCTTGGACCCCGGTACCTCCAGGAGCAGCTTGTCAGCTGACCTGAGAAACCAGGGGGCGTTAGTAAGGATTCATTTAAAAAACAAACATAAGAATTTTAAAATGACCTCTAAGATATACAGGCAGCCAATGTGGTGAAGCCAGGATGGGAGTTATGTGCTCTCTTTTGTCGTGCAGCAGCATTTTGAACCATTAGCAACAGTACAAGTAAAGAGCAGTGTGCTTGGAGTTTAACCCCTTTTGGCAAGATTATTTTCTCTAAGTATAATGTAAGTTTCAAATATGTGTGTGTTTACATTTCTTGCTCAGTGCAGCCAACATGATTTAATGACTTGGGTAAAAGCTGCCGGTTATTAGACTGTTAATGGTTAAAACTTTTCTGGATGAATGTGTGGAGGCTCGTTCTAGCCATAAAGCCTAGCTGTCCTCACCACTGTAACCCTTATATTTGTGCCATCTGAGAGTGAAAGGTGGACAGATCTGAGACCTGTTTTCTGTTTCGCTAAAGATGATGTAGTGACTACAGTTTGGTCCTGCAGGTGTTACAGCAGGTAAAGTCCATGCAAATAATGAGAGAATTGATTATTTCTGATACAAAGTTAACGCTCAGTGGCCTGAGAGGTCAAACACAGTGGTAGAAAAGTCCAGAGGTGACTAAAGCAAACATGTAACTACAGAATTATATGAATCTAGTGATTTTTTTTTTTAAATCCCTCTCAGCAACAATGAATCCTCCATTTCTGTTCAGTCACATTATTGTTTCCCTGTTCAGCTCTGTGTCGACGCCTGGACACAGACGTAGGGTTAAAAGGGTTAAAAAGGATGTTTTATTTAAAGTATTTCTTTGAGTCAATTTTTGGGATTGTAGACAGGCGATTGTCACAGGTTTCTTTTTCCCTTCAAAAATTCTCCTAAATGAGTTTTCTCTTGACGGCAGCAGGTGTCTGAACAAAGGAGCCCATGGTGAGTAAACCAGACTGTGCCTACTGCGAGATCCACACATGTTTACCACATGCGGCGTAACATTCTGGCATTGATTGGATGGAAACACCAGCGTCTTATAGTGGAGGCCCAATCAGTTCAACAGTGTGCAGTTGCGTAATAAGGAATGTCTTCCAAGTGTGTGATTAGCAGGGCGGAGATCCCTAGAAAAAACTGCAACAAAAGCGTGCACACACACTCTCATTCACAAAGACAGGGAAGAGAAAAAGGGAAAGGTGAGTCTGTCCAGGAGGACATGGACAAACTGCTTATGTTGTTTTTGTTTCTTTTTTCCACTTCTTTTGTGTTTTGTGAACTAGCAGCATTTTTCTGTTAGCTGGTGTTTTCATAGGTTGATGTTCTTTCTGGGCCACCGTACAATGAAGCTCGTTGTAGCCACGTTGGCTGGCTAATTAACCGTCATATTTGCTCTTATATATTACTTATGTATTTACTATTGTGTATACATTTGGATGTAGATGCATTGACCGAAGTACAACATCTGCGTATAAAGAAGTGAAATATTACAAACTACTGTAAAACTGAAATTGGTGTTTTTAAAGTGTTTGAAATTGAGAGCATTTTACCAGGTAATGTATTGTGCTTCATCAACCTGTCAATATCTGTTAGCCATACTGTTTTAATGGATGGTCTCAAGTACCTACGTCATGGGGGGGGTTTTTTTGTTTGTTTTTTTTACATCATGTTTCGGCTATTAATAATTTATGCTTGGACTTAAAATGTGACTGTAACTATATTTAAGTCTGCACAGTCTCTTGAAATGGTTTTTAAACCATCACATGACCTGGCAAACCTTTTCTTCCATTTGGACATCATCTAAAAATTATGTTAGCAAAAAAATGGCAAGTTGTGTAGAGTGCTTTGAGTGCCCAGAGTAGAAAAGCGCTGCATATGAACCAACCGATTTACCATTAGTTGTTTAAAATATTAAAGACCGTTCAGAATTACTCAATATTTTAAATATTAAGTACTTAGTTTTTATTTTGTCATGTAAACTTGCAAGCATGTCTCTGGACTGTGGGAGGAAGTTGGAGTACCTGAAGAGAACCCCGGGGGGGAATACAAACACCACACGGAAAAGCCCCAGCAGGCGGACTTCTTGCTGTTACAGTACTAACCAACACACACACACACACAGAGTCCAAAAACACAAGTATTATGATAAAGTTTACTTTCTTTCCTTATATGTCAGTGTAAACTTGTCCAAACTGACCAGAATCACACATTGGTGCAGCTGTTTTGCACTTAAACATGCACCTATGAGTCTGCCTGTGAATTGCTCCTATCCTGCATTTGCCATCAGATAAAGCGCACATATTTTCATGTATAACAACATATTCACAAACAATATGCAGCATGTGGTTTGTTTATTTCCTGCTGCAGTGCAATAAATGATCTTCAGCAGCTGTGGATTTCATAAGCCAAGCTAGAAAAGGCCATTTTCCTGCGGGACCTCATCAGCAGAAATAAGACAAACAGCCATAGCAATGACCATAACACAAATAAGATCCCTGGTTTGCTGTGTGCATTATCAGTGCCAGCGCCGTATAATCATCATAACCTGCAAAACAAAAGTAAGCATGCCCGCGATCATTCATTAGTCATTGGCGTTCATCATCTACTCTCCTAGTCCTTTCTCTGCTCCGTTATGTTTGCACTAATGTTCGTCATTCTAATCTCGTTTCTGTCGCCGCGCCTGTTTGTTCCTCATTCCCCCGCTCGTGTCAGTGTTGTGATTGGTGTTGTGTGGGATGAATGGATAGGAGAATTAAGCTGCGGGATATTCCAGACATGCAATAATTCAATCTGCAAATTACAGCTGATTGATAGTGGTGCATTTCAGATAAATGAACAGCAGGTGTGCGTTTGGCTGTGAGCTGCACATTATGAGGAGTTTTGAGGGCTGAAATTTGCCTCTTACATCGCCATGAAATCAGAAATATGCCATCTCAGGTCCCCTGCTCTCTGATTAAATGGACACATTAGGGCCGGTTCGCGGGGCAGCAGCCTAAGCAGTGAATCCCAGACCTCTCCCCGGTCACCTCCTCCAGCTTGTCTGGGGTAACACCAAGGTGTTCCCAGGCCAGCCAAAGGAGATAATCTCGGGTCTGTCCCGGGGTCTCCTCCCGATGGGACATGCCCAGAACACCTCTCACCCAGGAGGCGCCCTGGGTGAGAGGTGCCCAAACCATTTCAATGTGGAGGAGCAGTTTAAGCCTTTCCAAAGTAATTTTTATTCAGAATCTTTTTAAGGGAATAATTGATGCCTGTCTAAAACTAGGTTGTGCCAAACACTGACCACAGATTTATTCAGAAGATGAACATAGTCACCATTAAATCACCATTTGGCTTG